AGACATTCCATTTGCACTGCACCAGTTAAAGAGTGAGTGCAAATCGTACTGTAAATAAACTGAATTAAGTGTATTTATATGCGAAAACAGCTTGACATCATCTGCATACATTAGTATTTTGGAATAAAGAATGGAACTCGGAAGATCATTTAGATAAAGAACAAAAAATAACGGACCCAAATGACTTCCTTGCGGAACTCCAGAGGAAACAACAATATCTTTAGAAAAGGAATCACTGAACAAAACTTGTTGGGTACGATCCTCTAAATAGGATGAAATCGGTGTAAACCAGGGAGGACTCTGATCATTCAATTTGTTAACAGTAGGAACATAATTATTTAGAGAAGTATTTAGTAGTTCGTAAAATCTTGATACACACGAATCGATGTCACCACTTAGATCCCATATAGTTGAAAACAATGAGGAACGTAGTTGTACAATATTAGTTTTAGCAAAGTTACGTCTGATAATTGAAGTTTTTGCGGGCGCAGTATTAGAAGAATTATTTTTCAATTCTAAATTCACAGTGAGTGTAGGATGATAAATGTCTTCAGGAATTACATATGGAGAGCTTCTAAAGATTGAGATATTTAACGTAGACGAAAATACTAAATCTAATAGTTTCTATTTAACATTCAATACGTCATTTACCTGGTAAAGGCAGAGTTCAAAAATTTTATCCCAAAAAGCATCGAATACAATTGGATAAGTCGAGGGAACATAATCCAATATATTATCGCCCGGGATCCAAGCGACACCTGGAAGGTTGAAATCTCCCATGCAAATTAAAGAAGAATTGTTATAAAGTAACGAAGATACTTTTGCAATAAAATTAGCGTGATTTAAATATATTTCAACTCCTGAATTGGGTGGAATGTAAGAACAAGTTAAGAATATAGTGTTACTAAGAAATGTCAATTTTGCAGAGACAAATTCAACTGAAACTTCAACAAATTCAGAAGGAATCGTGTTATGAACTGCAATAAGAACTCCTCCTCCTTTTTTAGATGTTCTATCTTTTCTAAAAACTTGATAATTATCGGAAAATACCTCTGTATCGAGTTCATCAGGTTTAAGCCATGTCTCGGTAAAAATAATTACTTTATAATCACTATGGAAACTTTTAAGAAACACATTTCTCAATTTAGTATTAAGGCCTCTAACATTTTGATATAGAATCGGTAAGACTATATTTAGTTTTTTGAAGCAGGTGGAATACTCACAGTTCTAGGAATGTATGGACGTTCCCTGAAAACGAACTTTTTTACCAAGATACCATCGGGGCAAAACGAATTGTTTACTATAGAATTTAAAAATTTATTAGGAACTATTATTTTAAATGAAGCAATATCCCGAGGTTGAGATGAATTGAATTTAAAGATTTTTACATCACTATCGGATAAATCGTTTATTTTAGATTTCACATATTCACGGATATTATCAATAGAGGTGTTAGGGTGGAACCCAATTGGTTTGAAGAGGATGGTCCAGTTCCAATATTAGCAACATTAGGGGGAATAACAGCATTTGAAGGTTGACCATTGACAACAATAGCAGGAGGTGAGGATAATTTTTTTGAGGTTGCAGAAGTAGATGCTGAAGTTGATTCAGAATTAAGATCAGTAGCTAAATTTAAATAGAAACCGGAGCAGGCAATTGATTACCTTCAGGAATTACACTTTCCATATTGGAGGGGCAATTTGCCACTATAGGCGAGTACAGACTAATTAAGTTATCTGGACCTAGATTTGATGAACTGGGACCACTAGCAATATTAACTGATTTTTTCCTTTTAGGGGAGCATTCGGGAAGTTCAAACTTATTGACCATTTTTTTAGATTTTTTCAAAATTTTGATAAACCTAATTGAAACATTTTTTAAATTTAAAATTTCTGACCTAGTTTCCTTAAAAAGCCGATGACAATTTACCTCTAGATCCCTACATTCTAAGCAAGAACAACGGAGACCTTTGGACTTATCCGCAATAAAATCAAACTGCCTACCATTAAATGCATTAAAAACGAGAATTTATTTGAAATTATGCTAAGGAAAGCAAATTTAGTACTGACAATCAAGTGGGGAATATAAAACAAATGTCAAAACTAACAAAAACAACGAAGGAATAAAATAAACAAGAAGGAGAAATAAATACCAAAATACAAACCAAATACAATTTTTGGAAAAATTTGGAAAAACAAATGAACACTTAAAAACACTTTTAAAAAAAAAACTTCACAATTTCCAAATTAAGAATATTAAATTTTGTGGAAAAAACACTAATAAACACTTAATACGCCACTACAGACACGTTTAAATGAATAATTAATAATTTGGTTTAAAAGACACGCACAAAACACTTCTATACGAGCAGAGTTGCCATTTTAGTTCGTAAGTAATCTTTACCTCGTTCCATAGATCAGGAACGCACGAGAGAGTCAAACACACCGTATAGATCTTCTCAAGGATCAGATATATACTTGGCGAGGCAAATTGAAGCATCGTCGGTGTGATTCCATCTGGTCCTGGTGATTTATATGGTTTGAACGTAATGACTGCCCAGCGTATCTTATTTCTGTTAACTACCTTGCCAATGAGATCCAAATCTAGAGTTGCGAGAGGCTGAGTTTCTATCGACTCACAGAAATTTATCCAAGACTTTTTCTTTGCACGCTTAATTTCACTCTTGTATTTGTTGAAACTAGCTCTATAGGAGTTTCAGTCAATATCGAGTTTTGATTTATGCGCCCTGTTGTACAGTCGTCTGGTCGCTTTCCTGAGCTCACAAAGTTCCCTGTTCCACCACAATGGCTGAGATTTTTTCCCAGGGTATGTAATCGGACAGGATTCCTTATGTCATCTGAGAAGGACGTCCGTTAGATTGTCCACGGCCCCATTGAGTTCCACAGCTGTTTCTAAGTTTGTATTAAGAGTCAGTTGGGAGTTCGTTAGATCCGTGTATTTCTCCCACGTTGTTCTCCTCCTATTTCTATAAGGCTTTTGATTACTTCCGTCGAAAAAGTCCTCGAAGAAAATCTTCAAATGATCTGAAAAGGAACATTCATTAGATACTCTCCAATTTCTGATGACGTAGTCATCTATATTTGAGAGGTTAAGTCAATGACCTCCTCTCTATCCCTAATTTTAAATGTCGGATCACAACCATTATTACATATACGTGTAGCAGCCCATTTCAACAAAAACACATTATTTATTTATATTACATAATTAAACTAATATTATAAGACATTTACATTAGAATTTTTTACCGGGTTAACCTACTTTATGAGGATTTATTTGGCATATATTCAAAGGAATAGACAATTTAAACCCACTGGGTAAATTCGCGTCTCGCCCCACGAATTTGAGAAGATACGAAAAAGCACATTTGTAATGTTTCGCATCAGATATTTCTCAGGCATTTCCGACCTTTGAGCCGCTTTTCGTTGCTGGGGTCTCGATAGATTCCCCACCGTGGGACATCGCCTCTGTGCAACTTGCCTTATTTTAAGGGATGAAAATTCAATGGCCCATTTTGGATTTTTCGAAAAAAATTATATTAGTATTAGAGCGTCGAATTTAACCAGAGCTTCTGAGGCTCTAATGAATAGGACTGATTGGTATATTGAACTATGAAATATTTTCAAAACAAACCTCAAAAAAGTTTCAAAAGGAAACAGCAACAAAATTTTACAAAAATATATTAATTACTAAATTCCCAAAGTAGATTGGAATTGAATCACTTTTACTAGTTTTACTATAAAAAAGTACTGGAACAGAACAAAAGTGTCATATTGAAATATTTTTATATTTAGTATTACTTTTTATTGTACTATTAACAAACGAGAACCTTTTTTTGACGCTATTTTAAAATCGGAAACAATTTCGACTGATAACAAATGTTTGTAGGTTCTGAAACCGACCAATATTGTCGCTAAACTCAAAATCGAAGTGTTTCCAATGTAAAAAGCATGCATGTAGTCATCAATGTTCCCAAATAAACGGTACCAATACACAGTACACAAACATAAAACAATATGTTAGTGTTACTATTCCCGATTACAACGAAATTCGTAATGTTCCACATTTTGGTATACTAAAAACGTCGGAGCACAAAAAATCGTAGTGTATCGCGGTCGGTGCATTAAATCGTAGTATACCCCGGTCGGAACACTAAAAATCGTAGCTGTATCACTAAAAATCGTAACCGGAACACAGACAATTTATTTATTTATCTTTTTTTGTATGAATAAATATTATTTTTTGTTTTTCAATAAAGATTTAATCATACATATTATCATATAATACAAATAATAAGAATACAAATTATTACATAAATTGTTATTCAAATATTTTTATTTTTTACTTTCAATAAAAAAAATATTTTTCAAAAAAAAAAAAAAGATAGAGTAAGTGATGGTAAATTGGTATACCCATTTGTTTTTGGATTGCCATTTTTTATTTTTTATCAGATTAGACTGCAGTAAAATTTAAAATTGCATCAAAGGCGATTTTAAACAATATGCAGGTAATGTGGTATACCAATTGATGTTAATATGGTATAGTAAAATTGTCACTTCCAATTTATATTTTATTTAATTTATTGTTTGTTTTTAGTGAATGTGAATTAGCTCCAGATTTATGTCTTTTAACATTTTTAACGAATACGTTGAGTGGATTTTTTTATAATATAAACATGTCAACGCATAGCAATATTTAATTTTTGTATGGATAAGTTTTTAATACTCGTTTTTTATCCCTTGTGATTCATGGTTGACTATCTAGGAGGACAAATCTAGCAAAAAGTAATGTTTTCTTAATATGAATTAAATCAATAAACGTTTAATGTTTCATCAAAATGAATTCTTTTAAAATATTGCTACTATGTGCAGATTTGGAGTTTTCAACATTTTGCGATATTTATTTGTTAAATAGCTTCGTCACAACGATTAAGAATAAATAAAATAATTTTATTAATGCTGTTTCCTTTTTTTCATTTTCAGCGGAACCACTGCCCTTAATGGATTTATGTAGGAGAACAATTCGACATGAACTTGGTCGCGCCCATTTAGAGGATCGGGTTCAACAATTACATCTGCCTCATTCAATGAAAACATATTTACTGTATCAAAATCGTAGATAATATTTTTACTTAAACACATGTAGTTTGTAAAATGACACATAATGCATATTTTTCTAAATACTCATTTCCTTGGTGTAATATATACAAGTAATATTAATTTATGTAAGGATAGATTTGTAAATTGCCAAAAGCGTACACAAATACATTAATTTAGATTGGAGTAGTTTAAGCTAAGTTCACTTTCAATGTTTACAAAAAAGTATCGATATAACGAAGTCAATAAATAATTTAGGAAACAAATCTCTTTAAATGTTTTTTATAGTTATTTTTGTATGATTAATCCAACTGAAAATAATAAGCCCGATCATGAATATCCGCAAGGAATTCTGTCCAATAGAAAAATAAATTTCTCGAGAATAAAATCCTCGATCATAAATAACTTGGGAGAGAAAAAAGGTGGGTAAAAGCAGTTCTCATTGGGGTGGTATCGCTGGTAATGTAAGTACTTCGATCTGTTACAAGAGGCATTTGGGTATGAAAGGTTTTTTTTGTAAAGAAGCTTTTGGGAAGAATATCCCAACAAAAAATCTAAGGGTGATTAGGATCAGTGGCGAGATCCGAAACTATAGTCTTCCCTGTCTTACCCCTCGGCGGACAATGCCATATATTCCCCACTAATAAATAGTTGTTTTTTATAAAAATAACAAACTGGTATTCAGCCTGACTAAATATAAATGGCATCCCGAATAACCAGCCAACACTACAAAAATTAATAATATTATATTAGCAAACTACAGTTTAACATTATAAATATTTTATGACTAAAAATGGGCGTCTAGTAGTAAAATTTTAATCTGATGCAACTCGTATTTGAAGATTCCGCCGGTTTTTACCAATAATATATACTCCCGATTTAACGGTGATAACCGATTGCGCCGATCGGAAAATATGCATTTCATAGCTGAAAAAACCCCATTCTATAACATTTTGATATATATTGATTAAGCATGTTTTACATAATTACATCCTTTTAAATCAACTATATTATTTGTTACATATTGATCCATGGTATAATAATAGAAGGTAACAGCAAGTGTTGTTGTACAACAAACGATACAACAACCACTTGGAAATTTGTTGTTGTAAGTTTTACTAGTGTCAGTGTCTTTTGACAGAAAAATGTAAACAAACAAATTATATTTATTTTGAAAATGAAATATTTTTGAATCCTCACAATAAAATTTGAAAAACATGAATGAAAATTTATCAAATGTATATTTCTATCGCTTCCACATCTTTCCTATAATTAAGCCATTGCCACTGCGCAAGGATGACACGCAAAATCGTGAAGCGTTCCACATTTTTAAGCAATCCCCCTGGACCTCTCTTTAGTCAATTGTCCCTCTCTCGACGACGTTAATGCAAGCCTGGAGAGGCAGTCGGATCTTCTCCTCGAACTTCTAGAGGAAACCGGCTCCTTCCGCCTCAGTCAGGAGAGCATCCCAAATCAGCTCTGGGATGACTCGCCCTTGTCGGACGAGGATGACATCATGGAAACTACGGTGATTAGAACTACGGTGATAAACACAGTAGCAACCATGGTGTCTCCTCTGAAGCCAGGAGGGTCCTCTCAGTTACTGACTAAGGAGGTAAACCCTGGCGAGGTTGAAGATATCGACACAATCTCCACGGCCTGCAGTGACGTCGCGAGGCTTCTCAGGTAGTTGGCTGTCGAAACAGATGCTGGTACCGATGAGGCTCCCATCGTTAAGATGGATGATTCATCGGTACCAGTATCTGCTAGACAAGCTGACGCTAAGGAGATCGCTGCCAAGAAAATGTATCGGAGAGCAGTAAATTTCTGTAAACGATACATTGGACGGGACAGCGACTCCATCACGGGGAAGGAGTTCCTGTTAATCAAGAGGAACCTCAAACTCATTAGGAAGTTCTCTAGGAACTATCCTGATGATATATAGAGGGACTTCTTGATTGATAGGATCCCCGACCCAGTACTAGGACTACAGCTGTAGTCTCTTCTAAGGAGAAACCTGCTGATGGCCCCGGTACATCCAGGAAGCTGATGCCTGAGACGTCTAAGCCCTCAGCACCCCCAAAGGGTAAACTGAGTACTGAGACGTCCCAGACATCAGAATCCACAAAGACAGAAGGCAGGGGACTGTCGAAGTCGGCCCGAAAGAGAGCGCGTAAAAAGGCCTCCAAGAAGACCAACAAGGCACAACCACCCTCTGTCAATCCACCTTCTGCCGAATTCCCAAAGCTGACAGCCAAGGCGGTAACAATTGGGCAGTCGATAGTGGACAAGCAGAAGGTAGCGAACGTGAAACAGGTGCCTGCGTCTTCTGGGCATACCTCTGCAGTAGCTGCTACCCTGGGTGCCAAATCTCGGCCACAGCCCACGGCTGTCACGAGAATGAGGTCCTCGGAGGAGCAACAACCTGCTGCAAAGAGGCCCACGCAGTCGTCGGCCGTACAGAGCTCTGCTTCTTTTGCTTCGGCGGTAGCGTCGAAGGAGAAACCTGCCAAGAGCAGCGATTGTGGGATGAAAACAAAACACGCTGTCTCGAAACAGGTAGCCCAGACACCTACAACGGAGCAAAGCGACTCTGCTGATCCGAAAGAGGTTCCGGAAGATCTGCGGGTAGCGATCATCGACCGAGTTGACCCCGACGGGTTTATCAGTGAGGATCGATGGGAGCTGGGCGACAGCTATCTGAAGGACCTCTTCCTGTCCGACGAGGTTGATCGAGAGAGCCTGCGGTTTGGCCTGACCTCCTCTTACAAAGGGGTAAAGGTTGTTGATTGTCGCACTAAGAAGACTTCAGATTTTCTTAAGAAGACAACAGCCTGGACCCCCTTTGGGAGGGTGGTCGTCTGGCAGCTGTAGCGGTCCGAGAGATACCGAGCGGTATGGTAACTTCGGTGTTTATCCCAAAACCTTTCAAGGGGCTGGAGAAGACACTGAGGTTATTGGAGAAGCAGAACGACGGCCTTCAGACGAGGAGGTGGAGAATCCTCGCCTCGTTTGAAAGGAACGGCGGTGTAGTCGCGAAGTTCGCTACTGATTCTGCGGGAGAGGAGTACTTGAGGAAGAACAAGGGTGAGCTTGTTCATGGAATGGGGAAACGTTGTTTCCGCCTCACAAGCGCTTAACGTGATTCAGATTAATCTGCATCACTGTAGAGCAGCAGCTGCTGAACTGCTACTCACACTCCCTTCCTCAAACATCGACTTGGCGCTCATTCAGGAACCTTACCTGTGCAAAGGCAAGGTGACTGGACTGGCCGACATAAAATATACGCTTTTGTCTACCTCCAATGGAGATAAGAAATGCTTCTTTCTAATTTCAGCGATGGAGATATGACGACAGCAAGACTAGACAGAGGTACCACGAAGCCACTGATAGTCTCTGCGGTCTATCTTCCCTATGAGACTCCTGATCCGCCCGGTACTGTGGTATGCCGCCTATTGGAGGAGATGGGCAGAGTTGGTGATATCATCATTGGATGTGACGCCAACGCACATCACTTCCATTGGGGAAGCAGCAACACAAATACAAGAGGTGAGTCCATTTTCGAGTTTATACTTAGTTATAATCTTAGAATTTGCAATAGAGGCAATACACCAACTTTTGTTAATAGGGTGAGAGGTGAAGTCATCGACATAACCCTCACAAATATGGACGACTATGGGGTCGTAAACTGGGAGGTGTCTGAGAAATGTTCCTTTTCGGATCATAGACTCATATCCTTCCAGATTCCTACCTCTAGAGCTAAACAGAAACCCTATAGGAATCCTCGGAAGACGAACTGGGACAAATTCAAAGCTAAAACAGCAGTCTCTTTTCGGGATCGTAATGATCTCAAAACGACTGAGGATGTTGAATTAGCTGTGAAAAATGTCACAGCCACTCTTCTGAAGAGCTATGAGGCTTCTTGTCCTCTAACATACCCTGGGAAGAAATCTCAGCCGGTATGGTGGTCACAAGACCTTGCAACCTTGCGGAAGGCTGCAAGGAAAGCTTATAATAGAGCTAGTAAGACCAAACTCAGTACAGATTGGGATGTTTATAAAAGACAATTCAGTAGGTACAAGGACGAAATCAAGAAAGCTAAACGTGAGTCTGGGTCTGCTATAGTTAGTCGATCGAAGGAGTCAACGAAGCGGCCAGATTCCGCAGAGTACTATCTAAGGATCCAAAATCCATAGGAAGTATTAAGCGAAGTGATGGTACGTGGACAAACTCTGGTAGTGAGACTCTCGATCTTCTATCATCAACCCACTTTCCTGGTTGTAAGGACTATAGGGAAGATGCGCAGTGTGTGCATCAGCCTACAGTTCGGACGAGGGAAGAGGAGAAGATGATAGAAGATACTATAAGATACCCAAAACTGATATGGGCGATAAACAGTTTTCAACCCTATAAATCTCCTGGTCCAGATGGTATAATACCGGCCAAGCTGCAATCTTTACAGACGGGTCCAAGATGGAGGAAGGCACTGGCGCAGGCGTCTACTGCAGGGAATTAGGTATACAGAACTCATATAAACTCAACAATGATTGTAGAGTTTTTCAAGCAGAGATTCTTGCAACCACGAAAGCGGCCGAGATAGTAAAAGCACTTAATACCGACATTACGGGACCGGTGACTATTTACGTAGATAGTCAGGCGGCCCTGAAAGCAGTGAAGTCGCATACTATAAACTCAGAAGCAGTTCATGATTGTAAGACCGCTCTGACTGATATACGACAAATAGTTGGGCTATGCTGGGTTCCAGGACATAATGATATTGAAGGGAATGAGATAGCCGACGAGCTTGCTCGAGGGGGGTCACAGTCGTCCAGTCTTCTGATTGAGAGATCTGTGAAACCCCCTATTAGATTTTTCATTGGCAGAATCCGCGCGTTCCATTGCGAGGTAGTCGGCAACAGATGGCTGAGGGAACCTGCTTGCAGAATCTCTAAATCTATCTGGCCAGAATTCTCTCGTAAAAGAACGTCTTCGCTGCTGGATCACAGCAAGAGAGAGATCAAAATCGTTGTGGAGAGCATTACTGGTCACTGCAAAGTTAGATCTCTCACTTCTAAGTGGGACTCCAGTGGAGAGGATTACTGTCGTCTATGTGAGGACGAAGAAGAAGTGGAAACAATTGAGCACATCCTCTGCAAATGTCCATCGCTGATCAGCAGAAGACATAAACAGTTTGGATGTTATGAAATTGATAATCTAGTCTTCTTCTCCAAAATAGACCCTAACCAAATTCTAGGCTTTGTCAAAAAATTGACTTGGCTAAAATAATGTCTCTTCCGCTCCCTTTTTCTCACTATTTCTCTCTCTCTACTCTTCCACTATCTTTTTTCTTCTCTTTATAGGTATACCTATACATAAAGGATGATCACAATGGACATAGTTTCCGAGTGAACGGTTGTTATAATAACCGTACATCCCTAACCTAACCTAAGCCATTGCCATTATATGTGTAAGACGTATGAAAATGCAGGGAATTGAAAGTTATTCCATGAAGAAAGATTTGCTTCCTCAAACTTTCCCAGCAGACAGATTGAGTAAATTGAATACGGGAGCGCATTTAATAATGAACAATTTCAAATTGTATGCGTTCCCAATTTTCCTTTTGGGTGATTTTTAAAAACATAATTTCAGCCTTATTCTGGATATTCGCTGGGAGATATCTCGCATGTTAAAAAATTTTCGCTTTTACATTCTCGCCCTATTCTGAATGAATAGGAAGACGCAAAAAATGCGAGATGCGGATTCGAGTTTTCGAAAATGGTGGTTGAAAAAAGATTCGTGTTGCCATATTGTAATTTAAGTTGTAATGTGTGTTGCCCCATTGTAATTTAATTGTGTAATATTTTTCAATATTTTATTTATTGATTTTTTTATTAAAAATGTTTACTTTTTATTGTTATTTAAACTTTATAACAATACAAATGTGAAATATCAATAATCCGCTGTATAAATGCTTTGTAAAATAAATTAAAGTTTGAAAATATGGCAACCTTCAATATGGCATTTAAAGCAGCTATTCATTGTTGTTGTTGCAATTTGGTGCAACAACAATAGATTACAAATAAAAGAACATTTTTTATGATGGCAAAAACACAACGAATAATGGGAAGAAATCGGAGATTGAATTAATTAATTCACAGTTTATTATTTCACTACATTATTGTGTGCCTTTTTATTTAATTTCGATATATTATCTCCCCAAATTCTTAAAGTGGCCAGCTATGTTATGATTTGCTCCTACTTCTTTATTTCTTCCTTCAAATCATGCACACGATAATTTAAAACAATATATATATTTTTTGTAGCTTTATTT